CTCTGACCTTTTAAATACAAAATATTTAGATGTAAAAGGTTCTATTTTATAAACTATTAGCCCAACGCAAACAACCACTCCTACCGTTACTCCACATTCCTCACTAAGGCAGGACTATGAATTCTACCTTTTACCTGCATCCATGCCTTGACCTCCATATCTCAATGGAAAAACTTGCATGGAAATAAATCATCTCTTTCCTCTCCGTGGCATATACATGAGTTCCTGTGTGTGTGTACCACGCTTGTGTGTAGCAGTCAGAGCTCAAGCAGATGTGCTCCTTAATTGCCTTTTTTTTTTTTTTTTTTCTGACTATGTAGCCTTGAGCTGCCTGGAACTGCATATGTAGATCAGGCTGGCCTTGAGCTTGGAGATCCATCTGAATCTGCCTCCCAGTGTTGGGATTAAGAGTGTAGATCACCACTCCCAGCCCCTCCACCTTATAGTCTGAGACAGGGTCTCTCATTGCATCTACAGTTCACCTAGTCTGGCTGCCTCGCCAGTGCTAGGACCATAGGCCTACGCTGCAATACCTGGCTTCTTACCTGTGTGCTGGGGGGCAGCAAGCTCTTACTAACTCAGTTGTCTGCCTAACCTGTTTTGTTCAGTGTTCTGTTTGCAAAGCTACAAGGGGGCTTGGCATTTAGTAGGTACTTAGTAAGTATATGTTGGCTAAATTAATAAGTATTTCAGACAGCCTTGCCCACAAGCAGGACAACCACCTCTTCGACGTGACCCGCTGATACCAAGTCCTGATGCACTTTGGCTCCTAAGCTGCTATGCTGACCATCAGGGTCATGACCACCCATGTAATCAAGGAAAGGAAGGAGCCAGGGACGAATGGCAAGCTCCGGAACTGGTGGAAAGCATGCCGTGCAGTTTAGGTGTTGGAAGCCATAACTAACCCAGGAGGCTAATGGAAACTGACACTTGCTTGAAAGTCAGCAGAGGCTCTGGAATGAACGTTGCTGGGCTCAGCTCCAATGGAAATTCCCAAGAACCATCAACAAAGAAGTCAGGTCAAGTAACCATTAACAGCTGATGCCTGAGGTGCAGCTAACAGTTACTGGCGGCAGGAACTGAACTTAAGTGATGACTCTTAAAGGAATTTCCAACTTGGGAAAACTATGTGATCTGACCTTGTAATAATGACCAAAATTATATTATTTCAGCCAAGGCAGGTGGCACAAGCTTGTAATCCCAGCTACTCAGGAGGCTGAGGTAAAAGATCCCAAGCACAAGGCCCACCTGGGCTACAGAATGAGTTCAAGGCCAACCCAGGCAACTTGGAGCCAGCCTCAAAATAAAAAAGAGTCAGGCGTGACATATACTTATAACCCCAACACTTGAAAAGCGGAGGTGGCATGATCAGTTCAAGGTGATGCTCAGCTATGTATGTGAGGCCAGTCTAGGCCATATAAGACACTGCTTCTAAATAACAAACATAAATGTAAAAGCATACAAAGTGCTTGCCTGGCATAGGTGAGACCATAAACCTCAGCCCTAAAAAGAAAAAACACAGGACCCTTTATGTATCAGGATTATCACCTAAGGCCTAAGGAAGTAAAGCATTTGGTAAAATGACTTTTCCTCTTTTAGGAAGTAGCATGCCCCTTAAAAACCATCAGGTGTCAACTACTTCCTTTATTAAAGGGAGCACAGTCCCGAGATGAGGCCACACCCAAGACATACAGAGCAGCAGGTAACCAAAGGAAAGGAATAACTAGACTTGGAAGTGTCCTGTTTCACAAAGGTTCTTGGCTTTGGCCCATGGGGTGCTATGTGGAAACACAGGCCTGTATTTTGCTAAGGTCCTATCAGACCTTCATACTTTCAGGCAATACCCCCAAATTAAACATTAACATTAAAAATTCCCAACTTTGGAAATCATACAATTATCTTGGGTTGTGAAGGCCTGTGTGTCTCCATGGCAGACTGAGATTGTTCCTGAATGCTAGATAGAAACACCAGGTGCAGGATCAGCTTTCTCCTGCTTGCCTAAGTAACCAGTGAACCTGCCACACCATTCCCACTGCCCTCAGCCACCAACACTGACAATGTCAGACCACAGAACATCAACCACACCTATTCACCGCTCTCCACACACAACCCTCAACAGCCTGCTCAGTCCCTACCTCCATCCAACTCATGCACCCTCTCATTTCATCAGTCTCTTTTCTGAATCTTTAAAAAAAATTTAAGCCAGTTGGCTGTGGTGGCATATAACTTTAATCCCAGCACTCCGGGAGGCAGAGGTAGGTGGATCTGAGTTCTAGGCCAGCCTGGTCTATAGAGTGAGGTCCAGGACAGCCAGGACTACACAGAGAAACCCTAATTTGAAAAACACACAGAATAAATTTAATTTTAAAAGTTTGTTTTATATGTATCAGTGTTCTGCCTGCATGTATAAATATGCACCATGTACACACCTGATGCCTGAGAACATCAACAGAGGGCATCAGATCCCTTGAATCTGAGGTTATAAATGCTTGTGAGCCACCATGTGGTCACTGGAACTGAACTGATCCTCTGCAAGGACACTGAGTCATCTCTCTCTACCCACCTTGAGCCTTCGTGATACCTTTCTCTAACAGAAGCTAGACCCCTGCTTCCAGACCATTCTCCCTCCACGCTCCCCATACCTCTGTGGCAAAAAACATCTATCATCAGAGTAGAAGGTTGTGTCATCTGCTGACCCAGCGCCTCTCTTCATAATCCTTACCTGGGGTTCACTGCCTGAGGCTGCTCTGACTTGTGTGGGATTTCCAGTTAGACAAATGAGCCTTGTCTTGTCTGTCCTCCAACAACCTTGTCCTCCATATCACCTCTCAGTCTAACACTAACATTTTTTTTTTTTAAAGATTTATTTATTATGTATACAGTGTTCTTCCTGCATGTATGTCTGCAGGTCAGAAGAGGGCACCAGATCTCATTACAGATGGTTGTGAGCCACCATGTGGTTGCTGGGAATTGAACTCAGGACCTCTGGAAGAGCAGCCACTGCTCCTAACCTCTGAGCCATCTCTCCAGCCCCTAACACTAACATTTAAATCTCTTCAGAGCCGCAGTTTCATCACCTACGTTCATCACCCATTCTTTCTAGTTTTCTAGGTCTTTCCTTCCAGAACCTCAACTCTAACAACCTGTTGGCTCTACCTACCACCTTTCCGCTGCCCCTCAGGTACTGGTGTAGATAATATTCCATGAACAGCCTTTCATAATCACACCTGTCCACGTTCCTTCACTTCCCTTTGTTGGCACTGTGCAGCTGCGGGCCAGAGAAACACCCCACCTGAGTACATGCTTTTGCTCGCTGAGAAAAACCAAAGCAAACAGAGAGCACACACACACACACACACACACACACACACACACACACACACACACACACACTCAAAACTGCCTCCTGCCTCAGATCAAGCTGTTGAAGCTTTCAAACAAACAGCACTTGAGATAAGTGAGGGCAGCAGTTCACCCTGCTGGACAGCTGTACTTCAGAAAGGTCAGTAGGCCAGCTGCTGCAGTCAGGCCAATGTGAACAGAAAAGGACTGTTCAGCAGGACAGGGCCTCATCGATTACCATGGTGTAACCTTCCAGAGGCCTATAGCGGCACCGCCACATCAGGTTGGTTCCGGGCCTAGAGGACATGCAGAAGCTTAGAAACCATAACCAGATGTAGTCACAGGCCAGGTAACTACAGGTGTAAGGCAACAATAATGTCTTCATCTGAAAAAGCCCCTAAGGGCTGCTGGAGGCTGGTTTATGCTACAATGATCAACAGCCCATTCTCCTGACTCTGGATCTAGAGCTGAGCCTCTCCTCACTGGCCCTTGGCATTCCCAACTTTTTCCCCCAGTCTTCGACAGAGGAATAAACCATTCCTCAGAAGCTACCACAAAAACAGCCTGACTGCCACACTTCCTGCTTTCTCTTTCATCCAATAGGTTGACCAGAAGGCCTTGGGCCATGTGGCTGCTGTCCACTTCTCCCTCTCCTCTCCCCTTCCTCACTTCTGTTCCAGCCTTGGGGACTGTCTTTCCCTTGATCACAACCAAGTTTACTCTGGACCCAAGGCTTTTGTTCTCCACTACCCCCATAGGACACTGGTCCAAAGGTCTTGTTACAGTTGCCACCTCATTCTTCCTGTTAGGACTCAGATGTCACCCTCCTCAGACACCTTCCTAGCTAGGCGCCCCTGTTCCCACCCGTCTGTTGTTGCCACTTGGTCATTTAATCTTTGGCAAGTACTCGCTCACGGGTCTCTCCCACTGGAATCCAAGCTCTGTGAATGGAGGAACCTGTCTCTTCCGAGACAACTCCCATCCACTGTCCTCACCAATACTCAGCGGGCACTCAACGAGTTTGCTGAATCAATGAATTCTTTCAAGAGATCCTTCCAAAGCTGGCTAGTGCTTGTCTGAAGTAGTTAAAGTACTAACAACACTTGAAGAAGCCAACCCCAGCTGCTGAATGCCAATATCAACACTCTCATACCAGGTGCTCCTGCGCCTGGCTGGCACCTTGGCAAAGCTCCTCCCTTCTGCCACCGCTTCGTCCTTCGGAGATCATTTGGAAGGCTGTTGCCCTACATCCTAACAACAGGTGTTCTAAGAGCGCCTTCCCTGTACTCAAAGCTGCCAACAGGTCAGCTCAACAAATCCCCACCTTCTGAGGCCTGGCTCCCCCGACCCTGCTCCCCCGGGCTTTGTTTGGCCTGGCAGTTTCCGCTTCGTTGAGCTCACCCACTTCCTGCCACAGGAGAGACCAGCGCCACGCCTTCCTGGATCAATACCCCCATGTCCCTTCCCAAGGGACACTTTATTACCCTTACACCTCCGCGCTCGCTGTTCACTCCGATGTGTCGCCAGCCTTCCCACCCCTCCGCCTTGCAGGGCCGGCTCCCCCGCACACTTTCACCATCCCAAGGGGCCTGCGATCCCCGCCAGCTGCGGCCTCCTCCACCCGCTCCCCTCCTCCTGGACCCCCGCCCGGCCCTCACCGTGGATGTCTAGGTCTCCGCCGGCCGCCTCGGCCCCGGAGAGGAGCAGCGAAGCTAACAGGGCGAGGAGCGCCCGGCCCCGCCGCGGCCCGCCCAGCTGCGCCATGACCTGCCGCCCGCGCCGCGAGCCAGGCCTCGAGCCACCGGCCGTTGGGGACTCTCGAGCAGGTGCGGGAGGCCCAGGGGCGCGCACGCGCACTGGAGGCCCGCGAGCTCAGGTGCGGCTGCGCCCGGAGCGGGTAGGGGACCGCGAGGCGCCCGGGTCCCAGGAAGCCCCTTCTTCGGGCTTCTGGCGCGTACGACGCCTTCGTCGGTTCCCAGCACGTCCCTGGACGCCAGGCGACACTCGGCGACTCTCCCGCGACTTAGGACTCCACAACGCCTAACGTCCGGGGGGCGGGACTGCGAACGGCGGACGCTGGGAAGTTAGAGGAGGTGGCGGCCGGGCCGGGGGTGGAGCGCACCTGGCGGGGCGGGGCGGGGCAGGGCGCACACGGCGCAGGCGCGGAGGGCGGGCACCTGAGACGCCGCTCTCCCACCTTCACCTGGGACCGCCCATGGCTCTTGGGAAGGAGGCGTGGTTGGCGTTGGCCCCGCCCCGGCGGCCCTGGCGGGAGGGGTGGTCCTGCGGCGCGCCCTCGCCCTTGCTTGTGGGTTTTGGCCACGACGCCATCGAGCCTTCGCTCTCGCGCTGAGACTAGGGCAAGAGACACACACTTCTGGGAAGCCTGAGGCTTTCTGTCCCCCCTTGCTTTAGCCTTCTGTTAGGGATTTTTATTCTGCCTAAATTCAACGCTCTTTGAGCCGTGACCAAATGTCCCGGACTCAGAAGTGACCATGCCAGACTAGCCTGTGTGTCGTCGTCAGACAGGCGCAGCCCGGAGTAGTGATGCGGAAGCAGAGGGAAGAGGGATCAGGAATGCGATGGGGAAATCCTAGGGTTGAGTGAGCAAGGGCTGGGACAATGAAAACCAGAGCATGGTAGGAGCCCGCCCACACAGGTTCCCTATTCAGCGCGACAGCCAGCCGGGCAGGCGACTGCCAGGAAAAAGGTGGCACGTCCCGAAAACAGCAGGTTCCCTGGACCCTGTACAGGAAGATAAATACAGTTATAGAGGGGTCTTAGGGCAAAGATCAGAACCTTAGGATGAACAGACCTGAAGCGGGGTGGGGACAAAACCACAGAACCAAGGTGGGCTTCTGGGAAGAGGGTTCATATACACCGGATGAATGGAGCAGGACTGACGGGAGTAGAAGACCACTACCAAGATAATTAAGATGATTACATTATCACTGAAATAGTTCTGTTAGCCTGGAGGTGGTGGCGCACGCCTTTGATCCCAGCACTCGGGAGGCAGAGGCAGGCGGATCTCCGTGAGTTCGAGGCCAGCCTGGTCTACAGAGTGAGATCTAGGACAGCCAGGACTGTTACACAGAGAAACCCTGTCTTGAAACACACAAGAAAGAAAGAGAAAGAAAGAAAGAAAGAAAGAAAGAAAGAAAGAAAGAAAGAAAGAAAGAAAGAAAGAAAGAAAGAAAGAAAGAAAGAAAGAAAGAAAGAAAGAAAGAAAGAAAGAAAAGGAAGGAAGGAAGGAAGAAGGAAGGAGAAAAGGAAGAAAGAAAAGAAAGAAAATGATGTTCTTGGGCCAGCACCTGCCGCCAAACCTGATGCATACATGGTGGAACTGACTTCCCAAAGTTGTCCTCTGACCTCCACACTTTAGCCATGGCACTTATCCCACATACATATAGACATACAAATAAAAATAAATGTATTTAAGAAAAATAAAATAGTGTTCTTGTTATTGTAAACAAGACTGGCTTGGTTGCACACGCCTGTATTCCCAGCAGCGGTGGTCGAAACAGGACTGGGATAGTCCAAAGCCAACCCCAGCAACAAGCAACAACCCCTGTCCCTCAAAAACAAAGGGAAACAAAGCCACCCGGTGTGGGGTTTCACTCAGTTGGTAGGGTGCTCACCAAGCATGCAGGAAGTCCTGAGTTTGATCCCCAACGCCACATAAAACCAACCTTAGTGGCACATGTCTGCAATCCCAGCACTCAGGAGCTGGAGGACCAGGACCAGGAGGAGTTCAAGTTCATTCTCAGCATAGTAAACTCAACCCTGCCTGTGCTGCATGAAACCCTGCCAAGCAAAAGAGAAAGGAACGAAAATAAAACCCTGAAAACTGGACAGTGCATTTGGGGCTGGGATGGTCTAAATCAAGAGAGCCTTGGAATTGGCAGTGGAGGAATGACTCAGTGAGAAGTCGCCTCCATAACTGAAGGAAAAGAAAAGGCAAGGAGCAAATACTGCAAGAGCAGGAGCAGCAGATAGGTCTCCTTTTTAAAGATTATTTTATGTGGCTGAGTGTTTTGCCTGCATATATGTATGAGCACCACACCACACGTGTGTGCCTGGTGCTCATAGAGACCAGAAGAGGGCATTAAGTCCCCTGTAACTAGAGTTACAGGTGGTTATGAGTTACCATGTGGATGCTGGGAACCAAAGTCCTTGGCTCCTTGTTTGCAGACAGTCTCTCTGTGAAGCTGAGGCTGTTCTGTAGCTTACTCTGTAGACCAGGCTGGCCTTGAAAGTACAGAGATCTGCCTGCCTCTGCCTCTGGAGTACAAGGATTAAAGGCATGTGCTACTGTTGTAGAATATTATTTTAGCCGGGCGGTGGTGGCGCATACCTTTAATCCCAGCACTCGGGAGGCAGAGCCAGGCAGATCTCTGTGAGTTTGAGGCCAGCCTGGGCTACCAAGTGAGTTCCGGGATATTTTTGTTTATGTTACATTTGTTTAACTCTGTGAATCTGTGATACTTTGCCTTTCTAAGACACCTGATGGTCTGATAAAGAACTGAACAGCCAATAGCAAGGCAGGAGAAAGGAATAGGCAGGGCTGGCAGGCAGAAAGAATTAATAGAAAGAGAAATCTGGGAGAGAAGAGATCTAGGAGCCAGAGGAGGAGGAGGACTCCAGGGGCCAGCCACTCAGCTACATAGCCAGACAAGGAGTAAGAAACAAAGCAAGGTATACAGGAATAGAAAATTAAAAGCCCAGAGGCAAAAGACAGACGGATTAAGTTAAGAAAAACTGGCAAGAAACAAGCCAAGCCAAGGTCAGGCATTTATAATTAAGGATAAGCCTCTCTGTGTGATTTATTAGGGATCTGGGTGGCGGGCTCTCCAAAAGAGTAAAAACAACCAACAACACGCCACCTCACCCATGTCATAGAAAATCTTTTGATTAGATATCTGGGTATTGTGGGAGCCAGGTCCACTGTGGCCATTCTGTTGTTTCTCGGCTCAATACAGGAAAATGTGAGTTATCAATACAGTGTCTCCCTTAAGCATCTAAGATAGTTTGTATGCCTGCCATCTTCTTTGTCTTGCCTTGAAGTTCTCAGAACTTCAATCCCCACCCTTCCCGCTTCCCGCCAGGGTCTAGTTGTGCCTGTAAACATCCCTAAATGGCTGGAGGTCGGGGTTGGGGAGAAAGCACACATTCATTCACTGGACCACTGAAGCATGTACTTGCTCAGCACACATTGTGAGTCAGGTCTTGCTGAAGATGCACGGAATGTACAAGAGTGAACAGATCCTGTCTTGGTCGGAAGTCACATAAAGAAATGGTCCCTCGATGTTTGATGCTTGGAGTGACACTGCTGGAATACTCCTCAGTGGGCTCAGTGGCCCAGGCCTCTAATCCCTGCTAATAGAAAGGCTGAGGCAGAAATATCATGAAGAGTGCTGGACAGCCTGGACTACATACCTGGATATCCTGGGCTACATACCTGAACAGTCCGGGCTACATAATGGAGTCTCAAAAAGAAAAGAAAAGAAAAGAAAAGAAAAGAAAAGAAAAAGCTGGGCACAGCAGTGTCCTCTTTCAACCCCAGCACTCAGGAGGCAGAGACAGGCATATCTCTGTAAGTTTGAGACCACCTGGTCTACACAGCAAGTTCCAGGCCAGCCAGGGTTACAGAGTGAGATCATATCTCAAGAAATGATGGCACACACATTTAATTCCAGGACTTGGGAGGCAGAGGCAACTCTCTGAGTTCAAGGTCAGTCTGGTCTACATAGTGAGTTCCAACACAGAGAAATCCTGTTTTGAAAAAAAGAGAAAAAGATTTCTTTATTTTTATGTGTATGAGCATTTGCCTGAATTCATATATGTGTACCATGTGTGTGCCTGGTGCCCTCGTAGTTCAGAAGATGTCAGATCCCTTAGAAGTGGCATTACAGGTGGCTGTGAGCCACCATGTGGGTGCTGGAAACAGGATCTGGGTCCTCTGCAAGAGCAGCCAGTGCTTTTAACCACTGAACCATCCTTCTAGCTCCTGTGCCAGGCTGTTTACGTGGGTGTTAGGGAGCCAAACTCAGGTCCTCCCCGTGCACAGCAGCACCTTACTGAATGCACTAGCTCCTCTGTACCCCAGTGTGTGCCTTCTTGCCTGTACCCCAGTGTGTGCCTTCTTGCCTGTACCCCAGTGCGTGCCTTCTTGCCTGTACCCCAGTGCGTGCCTTCTTGCCTGTACCCCAGTGCGTGCCTTTTTACCTGTACCCGAGGTGCATGACTTGAACTCCCTACCCTTGCTACAGTCCTGTTGAGAAGCAGACAATAAAGCAAGTGAGTAAATCTTACACAACTTGAGAAAGTGCTGTTGTTCGGAACTGAGCTCAGGGATAGGACACCCGCCTGCTCAGCGTGTATGAGGCCTTGAGCTCAGCCAGTATTTCAACAACAGAGGAGGTAAGGTTCTCGCTGCTTCTGACCCGGGTGAGAAGACTTGTAAAGTCAAGATCTCCCCTTATCACCCTTGGTAACATTCCTACCCACCCCATTTCTCCTGGTCGTATAATAAACTGTAGACACACTGTACTTACTGGCCCCCAGTGTGAGCTCTGGGTAGATTGCCTCCTATACTGTTTCCACTTGTTTCTGGTACAGCGCCTGGTGGAGCAGGCACTTGATAACATTATTTTTTAAGTATTTATTGTGTGTGTGAATGCGTGCCGAGTGTCTGTTTTGCAGGAGCCCTTGGATGTCAAAAGAGGCGTCAGATCCCCTGGAACTGGAGTTACAGATGGTTGTGAGCCACCGTGTGGGTGCTGGGGACTGAATCCAAGTCCTCTGCAAGAGTAGCCAAAGCTCTTAACTGCTGAGCCATCTCTCCAGCCCTCCCACCCCCATTTTTTGAGAGAATTCTCACTATGTAGCCTAGGCTTACTTTGAACTTTCATCTATCCCCTTGCCTCAGCTGTTCAAGTACTCTTTGCCACCCCCACCTCAAGTGCTGGGATTCACCATGCCTGAAAATGTTATTATTTATTTATTTGTGTGTGTGTGTGTGTGTGTGTGTGTGTGTGTGTATGTGTGTGTGTGTGTATGTGTGTGTGTTTGTGCGGGCGCGCACGCGCGCGCGCTCTGGCACATGTAGTGGTCTGAGGATAAGTTACAGGAGTTGAGACAGACTCAGGTCCTTAGGCATAGCACAAAGCCCTTTACCAATGGATCCATCTCCCCCTTCCAGGCTTTGTTTACTTTAAGGCAGGTCTGTAGCTCAGACTGTCCTGGAACTCGGAAGCTCACCGTGAATTCCTGAATCTCCTGCCTCCACCCCCTAAGCACCAAGGGTTACGGCAGCTGACACCACTCAATAAATACCGTGTGCTGGAGCAAGTGACACATAAATGAGTGGATAGATGGGTGAATGAATGAGTGAGGTAAACTAAATGGTAGTTCAAGCTCGGAGGCGGAGCAATTGATTAACTTTCCTGAGGTCCCAGGGTCCATCTCTGATCAGCTTCTAAGAAACAAAAGAAGAAAAGAAAAAAAGAGTTGCGTGTGGCGGCTTAAGTCTGGAATCGAAGCACTTAGGAGGTAGAGGCAGGAGGTTTAGGAGTTCAAGGCCAGACGTGGCTAATTGAGACCCTGTCTTAAAACTTGGGCTCTCATAAAGAGAAGCTTCAGGGGAACCCCTTACATCGAAGCCCCGGCGCCCCTGTAGCACCCCTCGCTGCCGCCAGAGGGCGCACAGGGCCGACCCCAGAGCGTGTCCCGGGACCCCGCCCGGGGATGTGCACCCCGAGCGCTCTGAACTGAGTGTCCCGCCCCCCGGCCCCATCTGCATCCCTCAGGACCCTGGCTTGAAGCCTGCACATTAGCCTGCTCGCCTCTGCGGGAAGGGAAACTGAGGCCGGGCGGCCGGAGCGGGGCGGGTCCCAGAGCTCGAGCCCCCGCCCCCGGCGGCCCCGCCCCGGCCCGTAAGAGCCCCAAGCGCGAGGCAGCACTCAAGTGGGGACGGCGGGCGGCGGCGCGATGGCAGCGCAGCGGCTGGGCAAGCGCGTGCTGAGCAAGCTTCAGTCCCCGTCGCGGGCCCGCGGCCCGGGGGGCAGCCCCAGTGGGCTGCAGAAGCGGCACGCGCGAGTCACCGTCAAGTACGACCGGCGGGAGCTGCAGCGGCGGCTGGACGTGGAGAAGTGGATCGACGGACGCTTGGAGGAGCTGTACCGCGGCAGGGTGAGACCCAGAGGGACCGGGGCTGGGGGACGGAGGGGGCCTGAGACACTGGCCCTCGAGCGGAGACCCTGCGACCTCGGTGACCCTGGCACATGCTCACTGGTGCACAAGCTGGTGCACCGGCAGCGACCTTAGCTAGGAGGACACATGCCCTGAGGTCTCAGTGCTAGGGGCATCCAGCTCGTGGACACACAGAGACATGCATCCAGGTTCCCCAGACGTGTGTGCGTGCAAACACCTGGGAAAATCCAGGGGTGATCCAATAGAGGAGATGAGAAAGAACTGGGGTGCCAGAGCCAGCATATTGAGAGAGCGGATAGGGAGAGGGGATGTCCTTAAGCCAAACATAGACATGTGTGAGAAGGCAGATAGGACAGCAGAGACTCCTGGCAGAGGAAGCAACAGTATGCACAGATGACGGAAGTCACAGCCACTCCGAGGAGTGAGCCACACACAAACTTACAGGAACACTAGTGGCTGAACTTCAGGGACAGCGTGGCCTGACCTGGACACAATAACATGCACACACAACACAGTCGCCCTCAACGCAGAGAGAAGAGTTACAGCTGTACAGAGATACGATCGGTTTAAGCTGTAGTGCTCCAAGCCCCAATAGCTATCCTGGGACACAAAGTGATCATACATTATCTGCTGTCAACAACATCAAGCCTACAAACCCCAGGACAGGTGTCACAGCCCTGTAGGCACACACATCTGTGGAAATTATAGTTACAACCGGAGCTGCTAATGGTGCCTCAGGAATTAAGACCTCTAGGAACCACGCTGGGCATGGCGGCTGAGGCCTGTGATCTCAGCACTTCGGAGGTGAAGAATTAGGAGTTCAAGGCCAACCCTGGACAAGGAGAGACCCTGTCCAAAAAATTCAAAACAAGTCTGGCATGGTGGTGCACACCTTTTTAGATGAAGAAGTAGGCAGATCTCTGTGAGTTCAAGGCCAGCCTTAGGCTACATAATGAGTTCCAGGCCAGTAAAGATACCAAGACCCTGTCTTAAAAAAAAATACAATAAATAAATAGATAAAGATGGTCCCTACGGCTAACCATGTCCAAGCTGAGACAGCCACACCTGAGCAGCAGCCACACTAGATACATTCTCTCTCAGGTCACGTAGGCCTCTGAACCAGGCCACCTTCATGAGGCCCATAGACGCTCAAGGTCTCCTCCCCTACACAGGACAGCACCTTCTCTCTCCAGCTGGGCAGCAGGACTAGAGGCTTAGGCCCCGGGACCCCCAGCCCAGGACAGCTGGGTCTTGTCCCCATCATGACCAGATACCTTTTGTACCACAGTGCCATGAACTGTAGCCTTCCCTCGGAGACCATTTTTGTTCCCAGCCCACCATACGGAGTCTAGGTGGTCACTTCACTGACCCAGCAGCCTGTAGTGTGACCCAGGGAGGCCTGGCTGGCCCTCAGCCCAGAAGCCCTTCTGGTCCCCAGGGGAAGGGGCCCGCCCCAGCAGGCTCCCCTCCCCCACACTCATTGCTAAGTAAGACTTTCCCTTGAAAGGGCAGAAGCCAACCCGAATCCCACAATCTGACATTCCAAGACTCGACCGGGCCTGCTTTGCCGAGTAGGAACTGCAGCCAAGGAGAGAGCCCTGTGCCAGTCCCAAGGCCCCCAGTGCCGAGCCAAGGGTTCAGGCATCGGGCTGGTACCAGGGCCCATCCACCCATCTGTCACCCCACCCCACCCCCCAACACCCAGATGTCCGCCTCAGTGGTGCTGTCCCTGCCTGCCACATTATTGCTGCAGGCCTAGCCAGCTGGGCCTGGGGTTGATGGAGTGCCTCCAGAGCCCTGGACAAAAGGCTGTGGACGGGGACAGGGGGAACGTGGGCTCTGACCAGTCCGTTCTCCCTGGCCTTAGGAGTCAGACATGCCCGATGAGGTCAACATTGATGAGCTGTTGGAATTGGATAGTGAAGATGAGAGAAGCCGGAAAATCCAGGTAGGTGGGGAGAAAGGAGAAGGCGCCCCTCCCCCCAACCCCAGCCCAACATTTGGCAGGGCCCTGAACAGAATGGCCCAAGTTGACATGTTTATTAAATATTTCCTATGCCAGACACTAAATCCTCTGCAAAACACTATAAACTAGACACATTTACCACCGTAAGGAAAATGAGGCCCAGAGAGGTTGGATCATTTGCTCAGGGGCACACAGCTCGTCTTGACTAGAGCTTGGAGCCAAACCCAGACTGCCCAGCTGCCATGTCCTTCCCCTCTGACCTCTCAGCAGAGGAATGGCTTTCTGATCTGGTGGTTCAGCCCCGCCTCTGGCCCTGGTCTGCTCGGGTTTGCAGCCACATGGGCAGTTTTGGTAGTCTTTTGTCTTGTTCCCTTGCGGAAGGGGAGGGCCTCTCAGGGAATAGGTGTCAGTCATTTACTGTTTTGTTTTGTTTTGTTTTTGTCCCCGTCCCCCTCAGGGACTCTTGGAGTCCTGCACGAATCCCACGGAGGTGAGTCTCTGCCCTTACAGGATTGGTCCCCTTACCTTTAGGGGGGAGGTGGAGGCAGGCCTAGGGAACTCCAGGGCGCCCCTATCTCTGTCCTGTTCTTTGTCATCATTGTCTCCTCCTACCACCCATCTGCCGCCCGCTCCACAGGCAGCTGCCTCAGAAACCCTCCCCCAAGCTGCTCCTGTTTCTGCCCATATGGTGCCTGCCCCTGGCTGGTTGTCCTGGTTGTTTGGGGCCTCACCCTCTTTCCATCTCTGTCCCCTGTGACTGTCTCTACCATCCTGGGGCTCCCTGTCTACCTCTTGGGGGCCTCCCACCCTCCAGGTTCTGGAGCTGGGCCATGCAACCCCTCCCACTTCCTTCCCTGCTTAAAAAGGGAAAATATTCACGGTTCTCCCCCCTGCTCTCAGCTGCCTGAGGGACAAACGTCACTGCCTGTCAGTCGTCCTGGAGCTGGCTCAGACCTGGTCTCTGGGGACTGTTTCTCAGCATGAGAAACATCTTCTGCCTGAGCCTGTGTCTGTCTGTAAATTCTCTCAGGTCTGAGTCTTGGGTGGTCTCTCCATCTCTCTGTTTTTATCTCGTTCTATGTGTATATGTGTTTTGCCTTCATGTATGTCTGTGTTCCACCACATGCATGTCTGGTGCCCATGGAGACCAGAAGAGGGTGTTGGATCCCCTGGAGCTGGAGTTACAGACATGTAACTGCTATGTGGGTGCTGGGAACTGAACTGGGATCCTCTGGAAGAGCAACAAGTGCTCTTAACCACTGAGCCCTCTTTCCATAGGGTCTCAGCATGTAAATGCATAGCAGTTCTCTTGCCTCAGATGTGATTACTGGCCCAGGCAGTAATTGCAGCTCCCCCCTGCCCCCCGCAATCGCTCTATTTGCCGCCCCCCTTCATCTCCCTCTCCTCCCTGCTTGGCTCCAGCTCCTTGAATAAGCTGTTGCCTGAAGAGGTGCTGGCATGGGGTGGGAGGCCTGTCTCCTGCTCGGTTCTCAGAACCCCACTCTGTCCTCAGGACTTCGTCCAGGAGCTGCTGGCCAAGCTTCGGGGCCTGCACAGGCAGCCGGGCTTCCCACAGTCCAGTTGCTCAGATGACCCCAGCCTGAGCCCCCGCCAGGACCGGGCCCACACCGCCCCTCCCTGACCGCTGCCCGTCTCTGTATTCCAGCCCCAGTGCCCAGATTGTTTCTAAGTTGTATTTAATGGTTCTGTTAACTGCCTCCGGTGTCTGGCTTTTCCTCTCCCTGCTACTGGCCTTCTGCAGCCCTTGCCCTTGGTCCCCAAGTCACAGCTGGCCCTGACAGATGGAGAAGCATTCCTCCTGGCCTCAGCCTGAGAACATACCCTGCTGACCCCGAGGCGTCCCGGAGACTCACATCCTGTTCCCACCTCCCCCCAAATGGAAGCAGTCCCAGCTCCTATGGGGAACGCCGGGCCAGATTCCTGGGCCACAGGAGATGTGGAGATGCTGACGGCCCCTGTGACCCCCATCATCTCCCCATAGAGCATCACACAGTGATGAGACCATTAGTCCACTCCATGGAGAATGTGCTTGGTGTGGTTGTTGGAGTTGAAGCCACAGACCAGCAGTAAATGACATTAAAGTGGGAGAGAGAACCTGAGTGGCAGGGAGGGAGAGAGTGAGATGTGCACAATGGTACTGTGGGTAGGAGGAGCCACTGGCCCTTTGGGGTGGAGAAGCAGAACAATAGGACAATGGAGCCCCTGCCTAGAAGCCCCCAGTGAGGGGCTGGGGTGTGGCTCAGTGGTAGAGCCCCTGCCTAGAATCCCCCAGTGAGGGGCTGGGGTGTGGCTCAGCGGTAGAGCCCCTGCCTAGAATCCCCCAGTGAGGGGCTGGGGTGTGACTCAGTGGTAGAGCCCCTGCCTAGAATCCCCCAGTGAGGGGCTGGGGTGTGACTCAGTGGTAGAGCCCCTGCCTAGAATCCCCCAGTGAGGGGCTGGGGTGTGGCTCAGTGGTAGAGCCCCTGCCTAGAATCCCCCAGTGAGGGGCTGGGGTGTGACTCAGTGGTAGAGCCCCTGCCTAGAATCCCCCAGTGAGGGGCTGGGGTGTGGCTCAGTGGTAGGACACCTGCCTAGAATCCCCCAGTAAGGGGCTGGGGTGTGGCTCAGTGGTAGAGCCTCTGCCTAGAATCCCCCAGTGAGGGGCTGGGGTGTGGCTCAGTGGTAGGACACCTGCTTAGAATCCCCCAGTAAGGGGCTGGGGTGTGGCTCAGTGGTAGAGCCCCTGCGTAGAATCCCCCAGTAAGGGGCTGGGAGTGTGGCTCAGTGGTAGAGCCCCTGCCTAGAATTCCCCAGTGACGGGCTGGGGTGTGGCTCAGTGGTAGAGACCCTACTTAGCACAAACAAGATTCCAGTTTCATTCTCAGCTCTGCCAAAAGAAAGAAAAGAATCTTTGAGGGCTTCCTGGAAGAAGCAGCATCAAGGCAACAACTTCCACAGGCTGTCTCAACCATAGCTGCAGACTGAACTTGGAAGCAGAGTGGTTCCTGTTGGGGTAATACCAATATTGATCAGGATGACAGTGTCGCTGGAGCTAGGCAGGGAAGTCTACAGCTCAGGGATTATCGAGGCCTTCCCTCCTGAGTTAGAGGGTGTCCTGGAGGGTCTTAGAAGTGGAGAGAGGCTGTTTAACACCAGCCTGTGCATAATGAGATGGAGTGACTGCCAATGCTGAGGCCCTGGTCTTGCAGTTGGGATGTCTAGGAAAACATCTCCCCCATCTCTCTAGTGAGATTGCCCACCCCACATGCCACCCAGCTGCCTCTCCAGGATCAGGGCTCCATTCCAGGGATCTGAGTCATGGACCAGCAAGGAAAGATTGCTTAACATCTGGGACATCCTGTCCGGCCCTGCTGCTGGCCTAGCTGTCCCCACACAGGCTTCTCAGCCTTCCTCAATGCGAAGGATTGAGTGGGGGATGGGGACCTCGTGAGGCTCCCATCACCTGGACTGCTGTCCCAGAGCACTGCGTGAGCTGCGCACCCTCTACTTCCCTTTCACGGAACCTGCTTTTGGTTCCTCATGGTTGTGGAGGTGACAAGCCCCAGGTTCAGGCCCTGGGTGTCCACAGCATTGGATCTGTTTCCTATAGAAAACAAGAACCTCACAGAGAAGGTCCGGGTCACCAGCACTGTGTGCTAAAAGTCACACGGCCGGGCCGTGGTGGCACTGGGCTTTGATCCCAGCACTTGGGAGGCAGAGACAGGTGGATTTCTGTGAGTTCGAGGCCAGCCTGGTCTACAGAGCGAGATCCAGGACAGCCAGGGGGCTTCACAGAGAAACCCCGTCTCAAAAACAAAAGCTTAAGCAAATGATAGGGCTCTGCCATCCTAGTACTTGGGGCAGAGGCAGAAGGATTGAGTCACAGGCTGGGTTCTGTAGCCCGGCCCTTTATCAAATAAGTAAAGTGAGAATGGAAAAGGACCGCCAAGATGGCTCAGAGGGTAAAGGCCCTTTTGCTGCTCGGCCTGAGGACTTGAATTCAGTCCCTGGGCCCCACATGATGGGAGAAAAGAACCAATACAAAGTGTCCCTCTGTCCCCTCTATGTGCACGGCATGCAGGAATTTGAGGCCATCCTGGTCTACATAGGGAGACTTTGTCTCAAAGAAGGAAGCGGGGAACTAGAGATGGCTCAGCAGCTAAGTGACCGGCTGCTCTTCTAGAGGACCCGGGTTCAATCCCAGCACCCACATGGCAGCTCATAACCAGCAACAGATCCAGGGGATGCAATGCCATTTTCTGGCCTCTGTGAGCACCAGGTACCACACATCCACACACAGTGGGTAAGTCTTTAAAAGGAGGTGTAGAGTGAGGATGCTCTGGGACATGGCCGCTTGTCCGCCACACGTCGGGTGTTGGATTCCAACCCCAGCACTATAACGAACCAAAAACTTATGCCCGAGTTCAGATGCCATCCGTACTACGTCTTGGCTGTGTGGAGTTAAGAAGTCCCGTGACCTCACAGAATCTCCATGCCTGCAATGTAATAAAGATGCTTAAAACTGTACCGATTCCCGAGGTTTTCGGAAGAGATAAGATGTGTAAACATGATGAATCCTGTCATGGTGGGAAGGGGCCAATCGCCCCAACCAGGAAGGTGCTCCCTGGGAGCACTGCGTCACATGCCCTGTGGTGTGATGCCCCTGAGGTTGACCAACGACCTAGTTCACCATCCTCCCTCACTGTGGCACAAGCCTGCCTGTGAACCCACCCCCCACAGTTGGCCTGCTTCTCAGGGTAGAAAAAGGAGCTTTTCTCACTGTCTCCACCCACCCTGTTCTCTCTTCCTCTTTCCTCCAAACTTGTCTTACCCCAACTTTGGCCCAAACCCACTTCTGCAGTTGGGGAGTCGGCTTCAGGGACGCTTGCCAACGAGTCTGAACCCGAGTCCCATCCTCGGACCCACACGGTGAGAGGAGAGAGCACACGTCTGTGGGGTGCCCTCTGACCTCCACATTCACCCTCTCCCAAATAAATATTTTTCAGAAAGGCAATTTTTGGCGGTTTCCCAGGAGTCCGTCTTTCTTTCTTTCTTTCTTTGCCCCCAATCTTGTGATCTGCCTTGGAAAACATTTTTACTTCGATGCATGACTGTTTTGCCTGCATGTATGTCTGTGCACCACGTGTGTGTGCCTGGTGCCCAGGGACCTCAGGAGCTGGAGTTGCAGATGGTTGTGAGCTCCACCGTGGGTGCTGGAAATGGAACCTGGTCCTCTGGAAGAGCAGTCAGTCCTCTTAATGTCTGAACCAGCTTTCCAGACCTCAAATAAATATTTAAAAAATACTTTTAAAGGTTTTTTTTTTTTTTTTTTTTTTTTTGCCCCTACTCTGCTCTGGTCACTGTCCCTTTACTGATGTCATCCACACACCGTGGCTTCTTGCCCCATAGGACCTGCCACCGTGCTTTCTGGAATCCCAGATCCTCCTGTCACCACTGCATGGAATATCTGTTGTTAGAATTAACCTGATTAATTTCTTCCACAAATTTAGTGTGCCACCAAACTACCCATGAGTTAATTGTCTTGAGAGTCATTGCAGTCCCGTCTCCCACAGCGCCAGTTAGAAGTTGCTTGCTACCAGTGCCCCCTAGTGGCCATTCTTACCTGTGCAGCCGTGAAATCTCCTGGCTGTCTGGGCCTTCCACCCACCCATCGTTCTTGTCTGGGTCCCATGTTGCCCAGGCTGGCTTCAGACTTCCTATTTAGCAGAGGACGACTCTGAACTCCCAATTCTCCTGTATCCACCCCTGGAGTGCAGAAGTTACTGTCATGCAGCCTCTTGCCTGGTTGTGGGAGCTAGTTTTAAAACTATATATATTCCAAAGCTAGGTGTGGGCCAATCCCGGAACTCTGGAGGCTGGGACAAGATATCAAGTTTAAGGCCAGACTGAGGTATGGCCAGAGTCTGACAAGCCAAGTCCTTTGTCACCCCGAAGATGTGTTGCTTTATTGCCCCCCACCTCTATGCATAAACCCTGTCCATTCTGCAGAGCAGGCAGAGTAACAGCCCCAGCAGCCACGACCTGGCAGGGACTCGACCTGACAGGCAGTGAGGGGATGGAGAAAGGGCAGACACGTGGACACAGGGGCAGGAAAGCTGGGGCCGGGTGAGTCGTCCGACGCTTCACGGAGGGTCACTACTCAACAGCTTGGAACTTCAGCACTTTGTCACGTGATAACATGGGTTAGCCCGAGTCGGTGGGAGGTCTCTGTGGGCCAGCTGTCTCAGGGTGCAGATGCTAGTTTTGCACACGGTCAACACTGGCACTTGGAGCAAAGGAAGGTTTTACCATCCCTCAGAGCCTCAGCCTTGGGCAAAAGACTTGGCCACTCCCACGGGCCTGAGGTGTTGGGGTCCTCGATGTGGTTGTGTCTATGTCAAACAACACACATTCACTCAGGACTTCACCCACTCTTTACACACTCACTCAGGTGTCTTCCTGAGCACGCCACAATATTATCAGGACGATCTTGAACTCCTGCTCCTCAAATCTCCACCTCCCAAGCACTGGGGTTTACAGGTGCAAGACGACCTCTGGTGATCACAGGCAGGTACTGCCGCACCTAGCTCACAGGAGCCTATGATGCCGGGGTCGGGAGCAGACTCGGTACTCAGGCCCAGAGTAGGGCTGGAGGTTCAGAACTTCATTTGTGTCTCCCTGGCTGGCTCAAAGATTTGGGATGTGTCTTCTCCACGCCAGGACACAAGAACCGGCTCTGCCGGACAAAGGCTGAGCCACAGTGCCCTCTGGTGGCCAGTCCTTTCTATTCCTGATTGAATAAAGGTTTAGAACACCTTTAAGCCTAGCACTCAGAAAGGGTGAAGAGCAGAGGCAGGTAGATCCCTGAGTTCGAGGCCAGCCGATCTACAGAGTGAGTTCCAGGAAAGCCAGAGCTACACAGAGAACCATGTCTCAAAAAAACATAAATAATGATAATAATAACATCGACAATAACATAGCATTGATCCCCCCAGCACTTGAGTGATAGAATGATCAGGGTATCAAGGATGAAGGAGACCAGAACACAGGGACCTTGCCCAGGGATCAGGATCAGGGGACAGGCCTCAAAAGCGTCCACACACAGGTCATCCAGAAACACAGAAGCACGTCACTTTCGGGCAGCTGGGTCAGGAGCTCCTTGGGAGTATCCCATCATACTCTGGGGATAAGTAAATATGCCTGTTCATATTCTGCTCCCCACCAGGGATCCGTTCCACCTCCTATGCAGCCAAAGCAGGCCCTGAATTCTCTCTCCTCCTGCCTCAGCATCCTGAGAGCTGCCTATTAACCTTCCCTTCTCTCTGCCCGGCACTCTCCACTGGATGACATCCCTAACAGCAGCCCTCAACCTGCCTCCAGCTCAGGCTGCTGCAGAGGTGTGGCAGAGCACAGCTGGCCACCTTACTTCTGCCTGCTGGGTGCTGGGTTTGGTGTGCCTCAGAGAGGCACAGGGGAGGGGCAGTGGAGCAGGGGACTAACTGGGAATCGTATTCATTCAGACAATGAGGACACAGCTATGAATGGGATGACAGACCCTTAGGAGAACCAGTGTTTTGGTTTTTTGTTGTTGTTGTTTTGTTTTTTGTTTGTTCGTTTTAGTTTTTTTGATTCAAGGCTTCTCTGTATAGCCCTGGCTGTCTTGGAACTTTCTCTGTAGACCAGGCTGGCCTTGAGCTCAGAGATCTACTTACCTTTGCTTGCTGAGTGCTGGGATTAAAGGCATGAGCTACCTCCAATCCCTGAGAACCAGCATTCTAATGAGTGGAGGCAGAGAGCGAACTAAATAAAAGATTGTGTGTGTGTGTGTGTGTGTGTGTGTGTGTGTGTGTGTGTGTGTGTGTGTAATATAACAGGTATGATAAACATTCAGAAGAAAAGGTATTAGCTAGGCCAGGTAGCACAGACCTGTAATTGTAGCAGGCACAAGAGCTGAATAATGAATTCAAAGCCTGCTTAGGCTACAGCGTGAGTTCAAGACCAGCCTGGTCAACTTAGTGAGACCTATATCAAAAAAAAAGTAAAAAGTGGGGCCAGTGAGATGGCTCAGTGAATAAAAGTCTTTGCCACCACGCCTGATGACTTGAGTTCTATCTCTGGGACTCACGTGTCAGGAGAGAACTTCCTCCAGCAAGTTGTCCTCTGACCCCCACACAAGCACCATGAACTGTGGCAAGGGTGCTGAGTGGGCATTCACACATGCACACAGAATTGATTAAATATGTTTTTTTTTTTTTTAAAGTAAGACTGGCAAGATGGCAAGCCAATCCTGAAGGCCCGACTTCTGTTCCCAGAACCCACACGATGGATGGAGACCCTTGTTAACTGTTGTCTGAGTTTGGGATGAGGGGATTTGCTGATGAGTGTAGTGTGCTCTAAGAACTGGGAGGATAACTCTGGCTTGGAACACAATCTTCTTTCTTTTTCTTTTCTTTTTTTGTTTGTTTTTTGGTTTTTTTTTTTTTTTTTTTTTTTTGGTTTTTCGAGACAGGGTTTCTCTGTGTAGCTTTGCGCCTTTCCTGGAACTCACTTGGTAGCCCAGGCTGGCCTCGAACTCACAGAGATCCGCCTGGCTCTGCCTCCCGAGTGCTGGGATTAAAGGCGTGCGCCACCACCGCCCGGCCGTTTTTTGGTTTTTGAGACAGGGTTTCTCTGTAGCTTTCGAGCCTGTCCTGGACTAGCTCTGTAGACCAGGCTGGACTCGAACTCACAGAGATCTGCCTGCTTCTGCCTCTCGAGTGTGGGGATTAAGGGTGTGTGCCACTACCGCCCGGCTACAATCTGCTTTCTTCACAGTGGCCTACAAGACCTGCCACTATCCGCATGGGTCCTCGCTCATCTCAAACTGGTCTCACTTTTTGTTCACTTATGGTACCTTTCATTTTTAAGATTTAGTTTTAGATACATTTATTTTATTTTCTCTGTATTATTGTTTGCTTTCGTGTGTGTGTGTGTGTGTGTGTGTGTGTGTGTGTGTGTGTGTATGTGTGTGTGTGTGTACCTCCCGTGTGTCTGGTGCCCACAGAGGCCAGAAGAATATGTTAGACCCCTGAAGCTGAGGTTACAGGTGATTGTAGGCAACCCAATGGGGGTGCTGGGAACCGAACCTGGGTCCTTTGGAAGAAGAGGAAGGGCTTTTAACTGCTGAGCTACCTTTCCAGCACCAGAATGTGAACTTCTTGAGAAGAGCAGTGACTTTGCCTTTTTATCATTGCTATATTCTCAGAGCCTAGGAGAGGGCTCACCATAGGCGCTCAGTCAATAAACAAAGACATTGATTCATACCCTTCTGTTTCAGGACAGCTTTACAGGTTCGAGCTACTCAGACAAACAGGCACAGAAAAAAATATTCCACATACCCTATGGGTCATCTACATCCCTTGGTGGTGGTGGTGGTGGTGGTGGTGGTGGTGGTGGTGGTGGTGGTGGTACAGGACTAGATGTGGAAGAAGCCCCAGCTAGGAACCAAGCATCCTCTGAATGGGAAGGGAGGATGCTCTGGAGGGATG